GGCATAATATATAAAGTTTATATGTATATGATATATGGTACTAATACATAATTTTTTTATGTATACATGCATTAATTGGCATATATGTAAGGAAAACCCATACGTATGTATCTCTATCTAGCGTTCACATGAGTACATAGTTTGTGCAACCCTGAATGTTATGTTATTATATCCGTTGTGTTCAGCATATTCATAAAGCAATATCTTGTGAATTAATATTATGGATTGTATAGCTGCTACTCTCAACATTCACTTTTTAGGATTGATTTTGCAAGCGATATCAAATAGGATTCTTTTTTTCTTTTGAGCATGTTGTATGTATTTACCATCTGCATATATCATGTTCGAGGTGTTTAGTATAAATTTCATATCTATCTCAATGGAAACAAGTCGCAGTATTTTTTTATTTGTTATTATGTAAAAGAGAATACTTTATAACATCCGACAACTTGTCACAATGTTGTCAGCAATGTTTTTTTTTCCACTGTTGAGTTCAATATTGAAGACATCCTTGCCCAAACAAAATCTATTAAAGCCCGCTTATTCTAAAACTAGAGAGCATCCGTTGATCATTATTCTGAATACACGCAGCAACCAGAAATCTTTCGCACGACACAGAACTACATCAACTTAATAATCGTCCTCGAATTCCTCGTTGGGTACGCAGCAACTAGACTCGCGGCACTTCTGAAAAACTCCGAATTCGTAGCATTCTGGCTTCTTTTTCTCAGTGACTGAGGTGGACCATCGGCAGCAAAGGTAACCATCATCTCTAACATGGAAGTCATCGTCACAAGTGTATGCAATGCGGTGGTTTTCCTTCTTCTCGATTTCAAGCTTCATTGGGCATGTCATGACCAACTCGGGTAGGTCTTTCTCAGGCATACAGCATTGTTTCTCGCTGCAGAAAGGGATATCTCCACACGCGCCATCCTTCTCCGCGCAACATTCCTTGGGGAAGTTAACAATCGAATGTTTTTTAGCATCACAAACGTAGTCATCGAAGTATTCAGCGCCGACTGTGATTCCACAGGGAACAACTGGCAAAGGTGTAGGAATCGGTGTTGGCTTGGGGGTGGATGCTGTGGGCTCGGGGTGGGTATCGGTGGGCTTGCTGGGGGTGTCGGTTTGGGCAGGTGGCTTAGGAGCAGGTGTGCGCTTGTCCTCGCAGCAGTTACGCTCCAAGCACTTGGGGATTCCATAGCCGCACTGTCCGCTCCATTGGCAGCACTCGAAATCGCTTACGATAGGTCTCTTGTTCTTGCCACAGATGTTATTGAGTTGATCCTTCTCGACGCATGAGATAGGCTCTCTCTCGGGGGCGGGAGTCCAACTGGGCTGGGGAGGGCTCATAGCAGAAACAGCGCCACAGAGGGCAGCAAGTGCAACGATCAGTTTCATCTTTGGTGGATAGAATTGTACTGTCCAAAGATCAGGTCTGATACTGTACGATGTCTGGCTTTTCTTTTTATATTGGTAGTGCGCAGACTGTAGTTCCTTCACCATTCACACAGGAGAGACCGAGAGAGGCATAAACTATAAAGTGTATGAAAATCAAAATATGCTTAACTTTACAAATCTTCTATAAATATTCCTGAATTTCGAATTCGATGCTTTAGACATTCCGTATAGTGTTTACGGTTTAGAGTAGACCGTATTCTAGAAATATCAAGATGACACGTGGTAGCGGCTGCAATAGTTTGTATTTATCTTCTTGTGTACAGTCTTCACTCTCATCACATAAAATGAATACTCTTTTTGAAAAAATGCAGAAGCGGCGTGCAACCATGGGCGTGCAGTTGTGCACACGTCCAGTGAATACATAGTGATGCGTGAGTGCCAGCTAAGCTGCTGGCTCCTGAGAGTCCTGCGGGCTGTGGCTCTGCTTCGTTTAAAAATGTGCTTGGCTCCTCTCTCTCTACTAGCGAGTAGTAGAAGTGTGGGTCTCTGGGACCTGGCAAACTGCATCCTGGTAGTCCTGGCTGTCGCGGTATCGCCCGTCTGGCTGTCGGCCTGTTTTACTGTTGGCCATCGGCTGGGCTCATGCCTAAAGACTCATGCTTTATCAGTCAAAAAAGTTCATGGGATTATTTTTTTAAACTGTAAAAAAAGCTCATTGCGTTTTACATTATTTGTTTTTTATTTAAAAAAACAAATATTTATTCGAAAAAAAAGATATGTAGCCGACCTAGTTATTTTTTCATTTATAAATATCTGTAAATATAAAAACAAAAACAAAAACAAATAAATAACAACAAACTGTTGAATTCAGAAGAAGGCCACATATAGAACAAACGAAAATAGATCTTCACATTTTTCTCTTTTTGTTTAAAAAAACATTGTCATTTGCACACTGTATTTTGTGTTTTATTTTCATAAAATCAGAACAAAAATTGTTAGGTCAGTGATTATTTATTATTTACTGATCATTTATTTTGAACCCAATATCAAGGGGGCGGGGGAGTGGGGACTTGTGACTTAAAAATACAATAAATACCTTGTTCAGGACTTCAGGTCCAGGACTCCAGGATCGCCTCAGAAATACGGTTTCAACTGCTCAAGCTACTTTATTTTTATTTATTATTTACTATTTATTTTGAAAAAACTAAAAAAAGACAAAAAGGGGGTGTCTTATTTCTGAATAGAATCAGAATCAGAAAGGACAGAAAGTACAATTTTGATGCTTGATGACTCGTAATGTGTACTTTGTAAAAATTTGGATCTGACGGCAATTTTGTGTGCAATTCGATCCCGTATGTTTCAGACAATTCTGAGAGAAGGACTCGTCATTTATCTGCAAGACACCATTAGTGGGTTTCAAGTTATTCACCAATCAGAAATTATTATTGAAAAATATGCTTCAAGTTTGAAAGTACGTGCTATTTATATGGCCTAAAAATCGCAGTCGGATTCTGATTCCAAATTTCGAGAACAGTTTTTGTTCTCGAAATTTTGTCCTCCGAAATTCCGAACTGCCTATTATACCTATTAAAAGCAAAATTTTAAATATTTTTTATTTTGAGATAATTTTTAAACAATATTGTTGAATTCAGTAGGCTATGAAAATACAGCCAACAGCTTAAATTTATTTATTTATTATTTATTTATTTTGTTTTTAAAAAAAACACAAAATAAATGATACTGCATTTTTTTACAAAACACACAAGTTCTGTGGCATTGGCGAGTTGGCGACTCAAATGTTTTTATTTACTTATTTAAGTAAAAATTAAGGCTATGTGCGAAATTCCATTTTGTTCTTTTTTAAAATACAATTTTTAAACTTGCTGAAGCACTTTGAGATTGCAAAGTCGAAAATATTAGATCCGCTTTGAGAGTATTCCAATTAATAAAACAATCGCTCCATGCCCGAGGACACCAATCAATCCACAGTCCACAAAGGAGAGGACTTTTTAGATATTCTCCAGCAAATCAGGAATTCTATCCAGTTTATAGAAAATGTCTCATTGGTCGTTGAGTCGTGTTGACTGTTTCGCAAGAGTGTACTTTAACTCTAACTAAGTCTCTGGCATTCATAGTTTTCACACGCACTGTATTCATTTTCATAAATGATTTTATTTTTTAAAGTACTTCTCGTTTTCTAAGAACAAACATCGTCAACATTAACTCTTTTTTTTCCTTATTCAGTTTTAGAAAAACAACAAAAACAACTATTCTGAAAACAAAATAAAAACATTTGCTGTGTATTGTTGCTTTTTTTTTTTTAATTTATCATATATTTTTTAACAAAAACATAAATAAACAAACAAAACAAAATGCATGCTCAATCGTTCACATTAATTTAACATCAAAAAAGCTAAAACCAATAGTTTTATCTTGTTTAGCCTATATAAAAATACTACAGTACAAGGCTATGGCGCTATGTATGCTACATAGCAAACATTGCTAAGTTTATGTTCTAAACATATATTTTTTGCAAAAACTAAATCACAAATAGATTTTTTTAAAGTATAGCTACTAAATATAGAGTATTAAAAAAATACTATACATATTCTAAAATTTAAAAAGATGCTATAACTATGTAGTTAACTACAGTCCAGAACTATAATCTAAGAAGAATACAGAGTAAATAAAGAGCCAGCCCGAGCAGAATTTGTTGCATAGTCTATTATTCTTCGAAAAGAAGTCAATAAGATTTTTAAAAAAATATTGCAATATCATACACAATACATAGTCATTCATACACATATGTATTTATGTAAATATATTTGCCACTAAATACAGACTGCTCACTGCAGTAAGTAAGTTCTAACTACACTCTACAGGAAGTTCTACAGTCTACACTATACAGTCCACAGCTACACTACAGTCTACACCCTACAATCTACACTCTACAGTATATAGTGTAGTATGTACTGCCAGTCTGCCACAGCGCCACTACTCTCCCTCTAGAGTAGAATAGAGTACATTACATAATGCTGATAGATTGACACTTGACACTTGACGGCTGACGCTACAGATTTTACTGATTTTTATTTTTATTTTTTACAAATGCTGCAAAAGTCCACAAACTCAAACGCCGCTTTTGCCAAGAAGTTTGTGTTTAGTTAAGAATTGTAGGAGGTAGTAAACGACCCTTTTCCAAAACGTACTTGCAAGAAAAGAAGGATTTTACTTTTTTGTCTATTTACATGTATACCATGCTGAAATTTTGAATGTTTCTTTAGAATATTTCAGAGGGCTGTGTTAACTGTTATGTGTATGACTGACGACTGTACATATGGTTTCAAATTTAGTCCAGTTTTGCCAACTTGAAATTCTAAGAACAAATTTATGGGTTAGAGTAGAACACCTTACTCCAGTAACTAATTGCCCTATTGTGAAATTGTGATAAATTTTGAAAAATAGATCACCCCCTCATTCAGTCATTCTCACTTTGAATGAAAGTGTCAGTTCTATTTCCGGAACTTACTCCGACCTTTTGGGCGCGATCTTCACGCTGACAATAAAAATCATCGAAACACGCACAACAGACAACAGAAAACTTGCATTGTGCGGGTTGTATATTGTGTATGTATTATGTGTTCAAATGAAAGATGTTTAGGATTGTGTGCCGAGTGTAGCACTTTAATTCACACGCAGCGCTGTGCGCAGATATTTGTAGTTACAACTATGATAATGGATGATACATCAAAGGCTTTGTACGCATTGAGCGATATAATATTAGACATCCGAAAATTCGGTCCAGTAGGGAATCGTACAGAAGTATTCAATACAAATCACGGGTCTATAAGATTTAGAGGACATGATGAATAGTGCAAACGCTCGCGTACATAGACAATGCTTATGTATGCCTGCAGAAGTGCTCGAGAAACTAGTCGAAGAGATCAAAGAGGTATATAACTCGGACGGTAGGGCTAATATAGGACCACACGAATGATATATATGTTTATAACATTCTAAGGTCAATCACTAACACAGAACAGCTATCTAGCACGATTATTCGAAAGATCCATACAAACTGTATTCAATGGCATACGCAGAGCGATATACTATATTAATGTTGCAATATTTCTTAAGTATGTCTTGATTCCCACACAATCTGCTCCTGTACCTAGTAAAATACTTAATGATGGACGGTTCTGGCCCTACTTCTCTTGTGTAGTAGGCACTCAAGATGGAACACATATACCAAATGTTGTATAGTATGTTGATCAGGTCCGCTATAGGTATAGCATCTATGGGTGGTTTCCATGTTTGGAATCATTTGGAGTAAGTTGGCATCATTGGCATCAAATTGGGCATCAAATTGGCATCAAATTGAAAAGAGAGAAAATTACAGATTGATTGTCCTGTCATCAGTTTTGGCTTTACATTGGCATCATTTCGACTTCAAAATCTAATCACATTAGCATCGTTTTGATATCACATTGACGTTGTTTTGAAATCAAATTGGCAACACGTTGGACGCTGGCTTCGCCGTTGGCTTCGGCTTGTGTGGGTGAAATAAAAAATGGGTGAAAACAAATGGTGAAAATTTTACCTTGGCGCGCATTTGAAATGTAATGAACCAGTGGAAAGTCGCTCATATTAAGAAACAAACCGTTGTTCACGATGGTAGCCGAAAACATAAAATATTAGCTTTTTCAGCCTGGACATAGGCCGTCGCCGCCGTATTTTCTATTTGTCCGTCATCACTTTTTCTTATCAAAGTGCCCCAGTTCTGACTAATAAATACACGCGTGTCCTCGCATATGCACACGTAATACCATAAACTTAAAACACCTTAGAGCTGCTGAGGTTGTGCACCATTAACATTTTTTAAAGGAAAGACAGCTTACGCTATAACAAGGGGTTGTTGTTTTGTAAACGACAATGACAACTTTTGCGATGGATGTGTGTGTCCGCCAGTAAGCAGGAAGATCACCTTTGAAAGTCAGCAGTCGCAACAGTGGTGAGATCTTCAGATCGTGATCAACATATTTTAGGATGACACCAGCACAGCGAGTGGATGTAAAAGCCGGGCCGCCACATTAGAATCTTATAAT